GGGGGGGGGGGGGGGGGGGGGGGGGGGGGGAGGTCAGTGGGGTGATGGGGAGTGGGTAGAGTGGGACTTCTGACGTAGTAATGAACCGGAGAGGGAAGGGGGAAATCGCCCAAATCGCGCCCTCCCCCTCCTCCCCTCCCGCCTCCCCCTACCAGGAAAGCGCCCTAGATCCGTCTATGTGTTATGCGATTGTATGAGACATTACTGAAGCTCTTCCGGATGCTTTTTTGCTATAAATCTTTATGTATTTTGTTACAGGTGGTATCACTGAGCTCCGGGAATCGTGACTGTGTGAACGCTATTGCCGAATCGTCACAACTACCTCTTATGTTTTCACTAATCCTTCAGGATCAAAATTGTATGCACTGGCTAAAATTTATGAATCTTTCTTTTCTGACATGCATGATAAGCGCATCAAGGGCTGCGAAACACTGATCGATAGGCCATAATTTATTATGCTTTTCTGTGTTGAGGGACCGTGCATAACTGGCACAGTTATTTCCAATCACTAAGATCCCTTGCGGTGAATCTTATTGGATGCTCGCACACACCGAACACAGCTATGCCAGTTCCTTCGATTCTAAGTGTTATAGAAATTTTAAAGATACAAACAATGAATATTCCTGGCAAGGAGACTGAAACAAAACTGGGACCTGAAATCGTCTATGTGTTAAAATATGCATTTTGTTTCGTGTTATTGGCCCGCCGACGAGAGGAACACAATCGAATTTTGATAATTAATGAAAAACACACTAGAAGTGCCATTTAGATCTCCCAAATAAGCAAGCCTGTATGTGCAGTGACCTGTTAGCCTGACTGTGTTTCATCCCTGAGCTGTAAACACAGAGACGGCAGAATCGGTGCGGAATGAGGTGAGAGCACCAGTGTCTGTTGAGATAGCTGGATAGCAGAATACCAAACGTATTACTGTTAATGATTTATCACTCTGATTCTGACTCCTTGTTACTACAATTTAATTTTTTATCAGTTATTACTTGAAGTGATCTGCATTAGCGACTGTTACTCGTAAATTTGTGTCAGAGCCGAAAAATTTTCTATAAGGTTGTGGAATTTTGCTTTCAGGCATTCCAGTCGTTCTCTCTACGCTCATTGCACTTGCATCAAATACCAAAATTGTGAGGCAATCACTTGATCACGGTTTGTTTTTGTTACACAGATTTTAAGAAATATCAATTTTTTGACATCAGATTATTTGATGGTAAAATACCTCATCGAGAAGTGTCTGAGACGAGGGGTGATGCTCAACATACACAGAGATATTTGGAACTGGATAAAGCTATGCTTGTTTTTTGTTTTGGAGAGCCGCTGAACTAATAATCGCTTCAAGACCCTAACTTTTGTTAGGGCCTTCGGCTTGCTGACCACTGTCCAAGTGTAACGTATTTTTGGTCAAAGTAGTCAGAAAATTTCCCAGCTGCACAGTTAAAGAATTAGACCGAAATATCGATGGTTCAGTTATTTTGAGTAAATAACTTACTAGGTTCTGGTTAAGACATATTTTATGTGAACTGTTTAAAAATGACGGGAATCTTTCCGGTGGAAACTTTCAAAAGCTGTAGGGTTGACTATATTTTGTTCGGGGCATGAAATTTTCACTGTTCGGTCTGTGTATACAGCTAGGGGATGAAACACAGACTGCGTCATAAAATGTCTTCAAACAAATGACATTCAAGTGAAATTCTGCTATTCTTCTATTTCCTATTGGGACCACAGCTTGGATTAAAAATCAAGGGTTCTTTACTTAATTCATTTTGTGTGGAAGGGAAATAGTATGGAATGGTGGGAAATTACTAAAAGCAAATAAATTTTGACGAGACTGTGCTAAGGGTAATTTTTATTAATCTCAGAGTGATCTTGAGACTGTTGGCTTGGTCGTAATGCTAATATAGCGTTAATAAAATTAATAAACGAGTCGTAGAAAGATTATTTGGTCATTTGCATAATCGAGCCTTTCACTTTTAGCATGTGAATATGGCATTATTTCTCACCGCGTTATGTATAGCAACTTTAAAAAATATGCTTTAGGGAAAATTTGCTTTAGGTCGAGCAAAAAACTCATATTTTGAAATCGTTACAGTTTATTTATTTCACATTCTATTTAGGTGGACTTTTGTACATATTGAGTATATTTTTCAACGAGCAGTCCGGTCCGGAGACACGCATTCTGGCAGCACAATTGCTGGCAAAATTTCAAGCAGACAAATTAACAGGCCCAAGATGGACCCGATTTATCGTGCGATTTTTACCACCGATTTTCACTGACGCTCTGAGGGATTCGCCAGAAACAGCGTAAGTATGCAGTTCTCATTATTTTGTAAATATTTGCTTCTGCTTTCTTCGTCTTTCTGTGTGGGATGCTGAATGGAGAAGCCTGGGATGACAGTTAATTTTTGGGATACCAAAATCACCCGGACAGTTATTGTGGGAATCCAGTTTTTATGATGATACTTTTTAAAGTGCTCCAAAACCTCGGGCACAGTCATGCTAGGCCTCCTCGATCTTGAGCAGCATACCACATTAATTAATACTTAGTGGTTGTTCGTTGCACAAGCACCATTTCTTCAGAAGTTGCCCGATTCGCGAGTTTTTTAATCGATAGTTACCTGAACTAAAAAACCCTGTTGGAGAAGAATTCATCTAGCATTTTATGCTGAATAACATTTGATATGTGCCATGGTTAATCAGCAACATCAGTAGCGGTGGCAGCAACAACAGCAGTAGCAGCAGCAGCAGCAGCAGCAGCAGCAGCAGCAGCGGCAGCAGCAGCAGAAGTAGTAGCAGCAGCGGCAGCAGCAGCAGAAGTAGTAGCAGTAGAAGCAGTAGCAGTAGAAGCAGCAATTTGTTTACACAGCGAGTCTTCCACAAACGATTTTGGGGTTTGCAATATTGTAGACTGTCGATGTTCGATTCAACGCATGAGAATCCGGAGCTGATCTGGAACGATGATGTGCGAAATGGGGTTAAAAATGCTGTCTTATGCGAATTAAATGAACTTTATTCCAAGCAACAACGTGAACCACAAACAAAATGGCAAGCGGTAGGAGTTTTGTGTTTAGAATGTTTTGATCAACCGTAATCTGTTTTTCCCATAGACG